CAGAAGACAGACCTGCTGATCTACTTCTGAAAGCTCACAGCCTGGGAAACCCCATGGAGCAGTTCTACGCTGCTCACATGAGGCTGTCACGAGGTAGAATTGATACGATGACATCCAAAACAATAGCATACCTCTATGTGCTTTTCATATACAAATATACACATATAAACTGATACACATACAGATATACATATACACATATCTGGAGTCCTGGTGTGGTGCTGTGGGCTAATGTGTCAGACTGCAGGCATTTAAACTTTAAGGTCATTGGCTCAAGCTTACCAGCTGCTCCTTGGAAACCCTATACAGGGTCACTATGGGTCAGAATTGGCTCAACAACACTTAACAACAACAACAACAACATACATATATATACATAATACACATATATATGCATGTATATGTGTGTGTGTTATGTGTGAAAATTATGAAGGTATTCAAAATAGTACAATAGCTCTATATGTCCATATGGATGACATGAAAGACCTCCAAGAAATAGTGATATATTTGTAAAAATGTAGAAGAATGGAATTAAAAGATAATGGTACACAAGGTTGACAAGGATGGGCAACTTAGACATTGGCTACCCAAAATAGGGGGGCTACAAAGGCATGTAGTGTCTGGTCTACAAGCTTTCAAGAGAGTGCGGGGGAAGGTAGAATCTCCACTGAGTGGTTTCCAACCCATCTGGACGGGGCTGGTGAAAGGAGATGGGGATAAGAGTCTTGTAGTTCAATAGTGAATAATTACTATCAGGACTGATTGTCAGTGTTGCAAATGTACATGTAGATGTTTTGTAATAAAAGGAGGGGAGTGGTTGACCTTGCAGTCCAGGAGCAGAGGATCCTGGGACCATCAAGGGAGAAGAGCAGAGTGCAGGACCCTATCCAGAGAAGTAATGACGCCAGAGATAGAAGCAGAGATGATGACATGGAGAGATGGAGTGGCTGTGTCCTGATGGCTGGGGGACAGGCTTGCAGGGTGTACCCTTTGGTTATTTTAATGGTTATGTATTCCTGAGTGCATCGGTGTACATCTAAAAAAAAAAACAAAAACCAGAAGGAATGGAAGCAAGCAAAATGCATGAAGGGGACTGTAATCATTGTATTGAAATGAAATATGATAGGATGAATGTAAAGCTGATCTTCTCCCATGTAAACTATCACTCAATTCACAATAAAAACTTAAAAAAAAAAAAAAGGTAATGGAATTTTTCCATGAACTTTGTGACAATATTCATACTAAATTGTTAGCAGTGGCTTTTTTAGGGAGGAGAGTAGGGTTGAGTGAGCGATCATAGGAAACTGTGCTAGCAGTGGTGGTGGTGGTGGTGGTGGTGTACCTGGGAGTCTGTTCTGACTCATAGCAATCCTGTATTGGGTTTCTGAGGCTGTAAATCTTTTATAGTAGCAGAAAGTCTCATCTTTCTCCTGAAGAGTGACTGGTAGATTTGAACTGCTGAAACTGTGCCTGCCGACCTGACTTGTAATCCACTATGCTTCCAGGACTCCTTATAGGAGATTATAGCAAGATTTATATCATTTGAATTTTTTGTTGTTGTTTTTTGGTTTGATGATTTTACTCAAGAATATATTTATGCACCAATGTTCACAGCAGCACTATTCATAATAGGAAAAGGATGGAGACATCTAAGTGCTATCAATGGAAGACTGGATAAAGACACATTGGTATATACACACAGTGGAATATTATGCTACCTTGAGGAGTAACAATGAAGCTGCAAGCCACCGTATAACACGGATGAACCTTGAGGACATTATGCTGAGTGAAATTAGTCACAAAAGGACAAATACTGCATAAGACAATTATTATAAAAGCTTAAGAAAAGACACCTATACTAAAAGAGAAAAAAATATTCTTTATTGGTTACCTGGGGTGGGAGGGATGGGATTGTAGAGCACAGAGTAGGGGCTAGACACATCAAAGTTCGGGTGTTGGGAAGGGCAATTCACAAGAAAAGGGATGGAAGGACAAGGCAGATAGGAGAACACTGAGGCAAGTTTGCATGGGTGAAATGGGACAGAGGTACATAGTGAAGTATGCTCAACCTTGGAAAACAGGGTTTGGTGATACAGGGATAGAGGCATAGACTGAATGTGTAAAAGAGGGGAAAAAATGTTAAAGATACTTGACTTTCTTATGAATATTGGTTTCCCTTGCCTACTGCTGTAAAATAGATACTTGAGTGGGATAGAAAGGAATAACGGGAAATATGATTACTAAAAGCTTATAAGCCCGTCTCAGCTTATAACTGTAAAGGGTTCTAGAATTTGCCCAGTGAAATAGGCTTCCTGTGGAGCCTTTGTAGTCTGTAGGATCTTAGCTGGAATCGTGAGCTCCATCCAGAACCTTCTGAGGTGGCACATTCCCACTTGACAGGACAAGAAACCAGCCTGGAATAGCTAGAGGAACAGAAGCTATTTCTTGAAAGAAAGACCAGCAGGAAAAACCCAAAACAAAAATGGCAATCTGATTGGCTACTACAAGAACAAGCAAGTTGTTCACTGGGGAGCCATCAAGGCAAGCAATCAAGTTCCTTCAGGACAAATTCCCTCCCCAGACTGAAACACATGAGCAGACATGTAAGCTTGCTAGCAACCATGTAAGTCTCCTGGTGAGTGGAAGAGGGGGAAAGGTAGCCATGAAGATATGGGCCTAGTTCAACCATACTCCATAGACTCCCGTCAACCTGGAGATAAGAAAGAGAAGAGGAGAAGTTGGTTGGTCCAAAGTGCTGTGAGACCTGTAGACTCCTGAGCCCATGGACAAGGACATAGCCACAGAGGGCTGGAGCTGACAGCGAAGCATCCAGCTGATATGAAGTGCGGGGAGATGCATAAGAATGCCCCAAAAAAGGAAACAAGTATAAACTACTACCATTTGATGAACTTGACCTATACTTATGGATGTAGTAGCTCAAAATACCAACAGAGAGGGAAGGAGTTTTCACATCCAAGATTAATGCTATCCCCTCTGTATACAGGGTTGATAGTGAAGGGCAACTTAGACATTGGCTAACTAAAATGGGAGGGGCTATAAAGGCAAATGCTTGCTGAAAGTGAAGAGGACTTGAAACATTTACTTATGAAGATCAAAGAGCACAGCCTTCAATATGGATTACATCTCAATGTCAAGAAAACAAAAATCCTCACCACTGGACCAATAAACAACATTCTTATCAATGGAGAAAAGAATGAAGTT